AAGGACAAGGAACATGGCCCCACGAATACTAACGAAGGCACAAAGCAAGTTCCATCAACCTTCAGAACTGATGTAATTGATTTTTTTAAATGCCACGTTATTAATCTGGGGAAAATATAGGACCTTGTACTCAGTCTTACATTAACACAAGCTGCACAGCAAACATGCAGAGGCCTCAGGAAAAAGGATGCTGTTGTTATACAGAGAATAAGCTACAAAAACATTTGTGTTCTGCCTAGGAAGCCTAACCAGTTTAAAAACAAAATTAGGGGGTGGAAGGAAGGAGCACAGAACAAAGCCAAAAACCCTTTAACTACTTTCAATATATTAAAAGAAAACAAAGGAGCCAGTTAGATAGATCAGCAGGTAACAAACGACACCTGCCACCAAGCTTTATGATCTGAGTTTGAGGACGGGAATTCACATGGTAGAAGGAGAGAAGCAGTCTTTGCTTCTCTGACTACACACATACACCACCGTAAGCTTATGCTTCCATACAATAAATAAACACATTCTTAAAAAGAAGAAAAAGAATACAGATTATAGAAAGGGGTTTTAAAAACTGATAACAAGGGTTGTTAAGAGCATTTGTTACCCACTCATGAAGACCAGTGATCAGTTCCCAGCAACCACATAACAAGCCAGGCATTCTACTCTGCAAATGCTTTTAACTATATCTGAGGATACAATGCCTTTTTGGGCCTCTGCAAATCCTAGGGCAGGTGCTCGCGCACACGCACATGTACACCTACACTCAGAGACATACAAACCTACACATGCAAATAAACTAAACTAAAATAGAGTAACTGAAAGTCACTAGAGATTCAGTATCGACTCCATTCCCCCAGAGAGTCCTGGAGATTCCATTCCCCAGAGAGTCCTGGAGATTTGGGAAAAAGTGATCAATAAACCCAGAAAAAAATTGACTGAATGATAAAATTGGTCATGAAAAGTTCCTCTATTTTATTATTTTTCTGTTTTAAAGAAACCATAAAATTCTCAAAGACTTTCATTAGCAAGATACCAACAATACTTACCCCAAATTTCTGTCTTATTCTGAACTTTGAATACTAAAATCCCCTGCACGAATGTAAACAATATTTTTTTATTTATTTACTTGAGTAATTTATGAGATTTGCATAGAAAGAAAATAGAGACTCTTCTAAACAAAATCTGTTAGTTTGTCTTTTTTTTTCTATTTTTTCCAAGAATGGTCAAAGTTCAAGAAAAGTGGGTGCTTCACACTGCCACGAGAGTTCTAATCACAGCTGCCTCCTGTCAGCTTTAAAGCAGTGAGACCAGCATGAGGGCAAGTGCTAGAACGGATTTCAAACTGACCAGTCCATGTGTTTGTCTATTAGTGGCATACCCTGGCAAAGCCTGCCGAAGGTACCCATTATCGCCTTTCTTTTTACTTATCTTTCCAATCCCACTTATATTCACATATAAGAATATTTAGGCCCAACTATAAAGAAACTAAGATTTCTTCTCAACTATGAAAATCTCAAGATTGCTTAGAGTCAAATGCGGGTATATACTTGTCACAGTATACAGCTGTTACTGAGTCACCAATCTCTTGGATCCCCTTCCGATCTTGTAACCCTGAGTAAGTTCAGTATAAGAAATTGTATTTTAGGGAAAATGCTAAGTAAACTCAGAGGACTTGCATCTACAAAGAATTCACATGTCATTTCATGTTATAAATTGATAGTGCACTTTTGCAATAGAGACTTGTGAGCTGAGCCAGAATCATTCTCCTTCTTCCACTGGCAGTACTAAGATGTCCCCCAGGGACTGTCAGTCACATTGACCAGACTTCCTTCCTCTGTCTAAAGAACTAGCAAAGAATCCAAGCTAGGCCAATGCAATCCTTTTCCCAGGAATCTGAGTCTGAAGTGAGTAATGAAAGACTGAAATTGGCAGACTTTCACCTCTCCCAAGCCCAGTCGTTCAGCTTCTCAGGCCTGCTGTGAGCTCACAACCTCAGAAGTTTTCTTCCTACATCCTGCTTCTGCAACCTGCAATTCTTTGGCTCAACTGACTTTTCACAGAGACAGATCAAAACATATGTCTGTTAGTTCTGTTTATAGGTGGAACTAATAGTTCTGTTTATATAGGTGGAAATCCCTACAGTGCAATCAGTCCATGATCATTCTGTGAACTAAGAAAATGCCCTTGTGTTGTTGGTTTTAGTTTTATTTGTTTATAATTTTTCAAAGTAACAATTTCTTATTCAGTTGATCAAAGACAGGAATACAGTGGTGATACAGTCTTCAGAATTTTGGCTACTTTTTCTCAGAAAATAGCTTTGACGATCTTGAGAGTTAAAGTAAATACAAAAATTTCAGAATAATTTAAATGAGTTTAATGTGGCATTCTCCTTTATTGACAAATGTGTATGACTGGGTGTGGGTATGCATGTGTTGTGGGATATTTTAATTGAACTCTGACACTCCTGAGACTGCCAATAAGGTTTAACCTTGGATCAAGGGGCAGAGTTAGCAACTGGCTGATCAGAATAAGCCATAGAGATTTTGGAAGACCCAGAACACATAGAGAGACACAGAAAGTGGTAGAGAGCGGCTTAGAAAGATTCGAAGGCCCTTTTGGATCAGAAAGGAGAAAGATGAGAGGTCACTGGATGCTTCTCCATTGTCACTTCTCTGATCAGTCAGGTTGTTACCCATATCTGACTCCTCAATTTTTACTGATCAATTAGATAAATGCAAAAGTGTGAAGACCAGAGAACAAACTTGCTACCATTTTTAGGGTCTCTCATAAAGCAGAAGTTTGCCAATTAAGCTGGCTGGCTGGCTATGAGCCTTAGAGACCCTCCTGGTCTTTGCCTCTCCAATGCTGGAATTGCATGCCTGTGTAACCATGCCTCAGTATTTTCTCCTAGAGTCTGAGGCGAGAACTCAGACCCTCATGATTGCAAGGTACGAGTTTTACTGACTGAATCATCCCCCCAACCCTATGGAGCTACCTTCCTGGGACATGTCTTCCTTGTTCTTAGGCACAAGGCAAATGTTTCACTCACTGAATCACCCACCTCCAACCCCACGCCTAGGAAGTTACCTTCCTGGGACACATCCTTCCTTATTCTTATACACTGTAGTTCTGGTCATCTTAGTACCCCTCCACTCAAAATGAAAAGGTAAGACAGATACCATAATAACAAAGTCCTCAGGTACTCCAGCAAAGGGAACTATAAGTAGATAGTTATGGAATGAGCCTGGTCATCAGAACTTCCAATACTAAACTTAGAAACAATGTAAGAGAAATGCTTACACCAGAAACATTTTGGAATTCAGACGTTTTTGATTTGGTAACATATGAATATACACAAGTATCTGTCAGATGGGACTTATATCTAAACAAAGTCATTTCTTTTTCATGGTATGTACATAGAATGGTGGAAATTTTACACAGATTTTTTTAAAGTAATTTTACTGATTTACATGAGGGGCCAGCAAGAAGGCTCAGCAAGTAAAGGCACTTGCCTTATATATTGACAAAAGAGATGATTCCTGCAAACTATGTATCCTTTGCCCTCCACAATGGCATCATAACATTTGGGATCTTAGATTTTTCAGATCAGGGATGCTCAAAATATAGAACAAAGGGACAGATGGAACTGTAGCACAAGGTGAGTCCTCAAACCTCATATCATGTGACCACACCAAATTGGGTGCTTTTCTCTTGCAGAGAGAGAGAGACTATAAATACTTTTACACTTTCTGATACCCTGACTTGACAGTTCACAGACATCACAAATCAGCTGCAAAGGGACACCAGGATCCCCTGCCTGTAGTGCTCTACTTAATGAGCAAAAACCTCAGCTTTGTTTCTGACATGTTATAGGAGAAAATATAACCAAAGAGCATGTTTGCTTCCTGCAAGGTACCCTGCAATCTGACTGAGGAGATAATTCATGCACATATGAAACAACTACAATAGGAACACATGAACAACACCAACCACCAAATCCAGACCTTCTTCTCCAAGTGTAACTATAGACAAGTCCCTAACCATGCCAACTCAAAGGGCTGCTTCCTTTTTATTAACAACCAAATTCTGGGCCAAGCCAGAGAATGTAATCAAAAGAGCATATCTGTGTAAGATGATGGAAATCCATTCTTTTAGAAAGAATTAAATAATGAAGTAATCTCATGATTGAACACTTTGCATAAGCAGGTTTTACTAATGACAATCTTCTTTATCATTAGCTATGAATGCTTGTGTTCAGAGAAAGGACAAGATGGTATTTATAAATGAACAAATCTAGATCACTGTGTATTCAAAAGAAATCCTAAAACATGTGTTGGTTCAACTTAGGGTCGTTAGAATTAGCTCACCAATATATAAACAAGCTTGTTTAGGAAAGAACTCCCAAAGACAAGATAATGGGTACCTATACTCAAGAAAAAATTAATCTTGGTTTGATAAAAGTGTACAACTTACTGTAATTTATTACAAGCTGCTTCCTGAGTTTGGAATCCTTAGAATAGAATATGGCTTATAAAAAGACACATAGTGCTATGCCATCTGGTCCACAGCTTCTTCCATAGCCAGGAAAACTTCCCATTCAATGAAGTAACACTTAGGCAATATCAAAGGAAATTCCAATAGTGCTGTAACATTCCAAAAGCTAGAACCAATTTTGCAACTGTGAACAATTTCCTAAAGTATCAAACAGACCAGATAGTTGGTTAGGTTATCTTTTGCTTTATAACATATACAATAATGTGGAGAGTTATAGAGGAAGACACTCAAACATGGACCTCTGGCTTCCACAAGGAAGCACTTGGGCACCCATGCATACACAGAGGGGAGGCATAGAGGGAAAGGAGGAGAGAATAGGAGATGAGAAGAGATGGAAGGGCACAGGAAGGAAGGATAGGGGAATGAGTGCTTTTCTAACACCTACTGTCCATTCTAGAAGTGCTAAGACACCATTCATGAACCACTTTGACAAATGTCCCAATGAGTTCCCTTACCTTATTATGTTCATATTTGTACGGAATCTTGAGAGTGTCCATAGCTCTGATCATGGCCTGCATGGCTGTGAAGATGTTCTGATACACCAGTTTGGTAAAGCCCCTCTTGTCTTCATCAGAGTATCCGGACCCATGGATTATCCTCATCTGCTTGATGAAGGTACTCTTGCCACTCTCTCCTGTCCCTGGAATGGAAATGGCAGCAGCACATTAGACCACAACTAGATACCTGCCTAGATTTCACAGACCCCAAAAGACCTGCTGAGAGAAGCAGCCATACAAAGTCAAAATGCTATCTGCAGAGGACACTTTCAATGACGATGCATTTCAAAGGCAAATGAGCTCAAAAACTATTCACATTTTAGGAAACACCTGAGCATAAATCTACCAAACACCATTTGTAACCCTACACCTCTGAGAAATAAGTGCAAATGCATCACAGGAAAAGAACTGAAATTTGACAAAGTCCTCTCCCTGAGTATATCTGAATATGTATCTGGCACTCTGGAAACAGCAATACTGATACCTTTCAGAAACAAACAAGAGAAGACCTAAAACCTAAGATGTTTTTCTCTAGTCTGGAACTGGGGCAAACTAGACAACAGATTCCTGGTAGACCAAAACACAGGTTATGCTCTGGACAACAGTATCCACAGTGTTTATTTCCAGGGCCTGTCACTCATGAGAAACAACAAATTACTGTTAGTAAATGTTTTTCTTCTCTTCAACATCTTCAGTCTAAAAATGTCACATTTCTGAACACAAATGCCTTTTGTCATGTCCTTTTTCACTCCTCAGCAATGTAAAGAACATTAAACACTCTCTCTCTCTCTCTCTCTCTCTCTCTCTCTCTCTCTCTCTCTCTCTCTCTCTCTCTCTCTCTCTCTCTCTCTCTCTCTCGATATTTTAATATGAAAGAACAGAATGAGAAGTGACAGCCTTTCTTCCAGAAAGAAGAGGGAGGGAGGGAGGGAGGGAGGGAGGGAGGGAGGGAGGGAGGGAGGGAGGGAGGGAGGGAGGGAGGGAAGGAGACTAAGAACAAGAACTGCAAATCCACCCTCATTCCAGTCTGCTTTTCTAATGTTTATAGACTTTAATACTATCTTCATAAACGATCATGAAAATTCAAATAAATACTAAATTTTTTTACCGAAGTCTCAGGCAATACAGAACCCTCAGACATTCCAGGGGAAGGTGCTTCTGGACCCAGTGTTCTTAGGTAGCTTGTTTACTTATTTATTTCATATGTGTGGGACCATGCACAAACATGTACGTGTTCAGGCCAAAGGTGAATGTCAGGAATTGTCTGATCACTCTGCCTCATTGAGGCAAGATTCTTGCAATTGAACCCACTAACATAGCTACCCAGCCTATTCTAAGGATCCTTCTCATCTTTGGAGCCTTGGAATTATGAGTTCACATTTACAAGGCGTAGGGATCTAAACTCCAACCTTCACACTTGTGTAGCTCAGGCTTTATACGCTGAGCCATCTCCTCAGTCTGCCCTATGACTTTCAATGGGCTGATATAGAACACCTTGAAATATAAATTTAACACTGAAATGTGAAAGCTAGTTCACATTTTAGTAGTGTTAATTCAAAAATTATAATGAATATTCTATAATGCCCACTACAAATACCAAATATCTGAAAATGTTTATCTCCAGTGGGAATGCAGCCATAAATTAGTAATCATTATTAATCAACAATTTATAGAAACTAGTACCATTACTTTCTTAAGCAATTAAAAAGATGAAAGAAAAAAGTAAGATTTTTGCTTTTTATTACTATCCCCATCCAAGAACTTGTTCTTGAAGGCAGACTGTGGACGTGACCATCATACGCCTCTGTCCTTTATACTACAAAAATGGCAGAGATTTTTCTTTAAAAAAAAAAAGCGTGTACATGTGTGTGAGTGTGTTTATATACATGTGAGGGGGGGTGCTTAAGGAGGCCAGAGGCCTCCAGATGTTTTCTGGGAGTTGAACTCAGATTCTCTGTAAAAGCATCAAGAGCGAAGAGCTCCTAACTACTGAGTCATCTGTTCAGGGCCAAAGATTTTAATTTTTAATGTTATTTTGGGGGGATGGGTTTGTGTCTGTGGGTGAACATGTACCCATGAATCTAGATGCCCAAGGAGGCCAGATCAGGGAGCCAGGTCATGTGGACCTGAAATTATAGACAGTTGTGAACCATCTTACATGGGTGCTGGAAACTGAACTTGGGTTCTCTGCAAGGGCAGCAGGTGTTCTTAATCCACCACCGAACCATCTCTCCAGCCCCAAGAGATCTTGATTTGTCAGGTTAATGGAAAAGAAAAAAAGCAAAGCAAGTCAGGAAGTAGGGCCCTTTCCTCTTGATCATCTGAAAAATCTTTACATAATCATCCCTTAAATAAAAAGATAAATAATGCATGAAATATGAGCTACACTGGCTTGTTGTGTTTCTTTAGATCATTTTAGGTAAGAGCAGTCAGCACTTGTCATCTCTTTGAATATTCCTGGAGCCCTTAAAAATGATTATAATAATAATTATTAATTACATTGATAATTTAATACAACTAATACTAATATAATTGTATTATAAGTTTATGTTTGTTTAATATAATTAATATTGATGATCATGATCATGATTTCCTATTGCCAGAAAGAGAACCAGGGTTCCTTTCTCCCTCCCATATTACTGGGTACTACCCCGAGAGCTGCCAGGCACAGGTTTCATCCTGGTCTTTGACTTACACTTACAGCTTAGCCAAAACAAGACAGAGACAGCAGTGAGAAAGCAGGAGTCATATTCCTACAGTAGCAACTCAAATGTGCAATGTCCCCTTCAGGAGACCACAAGCTACTGCTGAGTAGTCCCTCCATATGGCTTTCCTGTCTTGAGTTTTTGTCTGTTACCAGTCCTTCCTACCTACATCTGGCCCACACTTTTATAAATCGCTCCTCAGCTACTGAGTGGAAGTGTCAAATGTCTCTGGCCAGAACTGACTACATACCTAAAGGAAAACAGAAGACAATTAAATGATGGACAGAAATTGCTCTAGAAGGTTTTCTTTGAGTTGCTCTCTGGTTTGTCAAGTACATTTTCAGTACCTCAATCTCAAAACACTCTTCTGCAGGCCAACTATGATGAAGAAACAGTGGTCACCCAGGTAAAATGTGAAAAAGCTCAAACCAGAATTGCAGGCTTGAGTCTCCCCTCAGCACTAAGAAACATAGTAATTAATTAAACCTATTAGACAGATTGTGTGCATCTGTACACAGAACCCCCCTAACATTCATCTTCTCTCTGTGTCTCTGTCTCTCTCTGTCTGTCTGTCTCTCTCTCTCTCTCTCACACACACACACACACACACACACACACACACACACAGAGGACACAGTGATTTGTACTTTCTGGCACCTCTTTTGTAAACAAAACAAATAAATTTGTACACATCCTTTATACTTTACCAAGCACTCTTGAGACATGCTATGTTCTGTCCTGTCAAAAGCCGATGATATGGATGTTTGAATCATCATCCTACTGACCTGCTATTTTTTGCTACACTGAACATCTCCCATCAATCAAAGCATTTAATAATATTTAACAAGTGAGTCAACATACAGGAGGATGTGAGACCCAAGTTAACACTATGAACATGGCTAGAAAATGTCACTATAAACATTGCTTGTATATTCAGGAACATAAGTCTGCATTTCTTATACTATCTCCTTGACATACTCAGAAGTAAGAACCATGCTATCTATTAAAAGGCCAATTCATCTATAAGTGGCTACAAAGAACACTATGCTTTTTCTTCTCTACTCCCTGAATCTGGATAAAGAACACAGAGTATTCCCTATTTCACTCAGCATCACTCGCCATCAGAACAAACATTAAATACATATTTAACACCCTACAATCAAGTACATGACCTAGTAAGCTGATACCATCACACACACACACACACACACACACACACACACACACACACACACACACACACATACACCACACATCTCCTACAGTCAATATTCACAGTTCGGGGTTTTATCAAGATCTTTTCAACATAACCAAAACCTACAGAGTCTGCCACAATTCTTTTTTTTATCCAATTCACAGGAAGCATTCATACACTTATGCTAATTATTCTGCCAATTTGCATGATGTGATATGCAAATGGCTCTGTCAAAAATGACTTTCAAATCTAATCATGTATTATCTTAAGGGTCATGAATTAGCATTTATTACTGAAATGCAATCATAGATTTAGTGGTTTGCTCTCTCTAATTAGCATTTTTGTTGAGGTAATCACACTCAGACTAACTTCTTATATTACTCTCTTGTAAAAGAGCAGTCAATGGACAATCACACACCCACAAGCATCTCTCAATGCTTGAAAATGCAGCTACTACTGTGCCTGTTCTTAAGAACTTGGTGCCCATCTACACACAAGGGATCCAGCAAAACAAACTCTGACATTACCAGGAATCCTAACACTCCACCTATTATTCATCCTCCTCCCTCAGAGAAAAGCTGGAGGAGACACCTAGGCTGAAGACCATCCACACCACTTCTAAGGGGCTTTAGATTCTATAGATAAAAATGCCAAAATACAGTCAGGAAAACTGTAGTACTGAAGACTGTACAGTGAATACATTCATTCCATCCTGCCAGGCCATTCCTTGACTGTATTTAGAGATTGTGAAGTCTACATCTGAAGCCCCAGAATGAATATAAAGGCTCAGGACAAATGTCCCGATCCCACCCTCCTGATTGGCCAGCTCCCAGGTAAACAGAGAAAAACAAAATGCAAGGCTCCTGAAGCTGAGTTACAAGCCAAGTGAATTGTTTCAGGTTCACTGGGTTAAGCCAGGAATATAAAGCATGGAATCTCAGGCCCAACAAGTCGAACTTGAGCTACTTCCATTTAAACTTGGATAAAGTAGAGCCACATACTTCAAGGATTAATTTCTAACAAGGAGCACATTACCCACCCACAACCTGGGAAGAATTAATGAAAACCAGTGAGATAAATGTGGTCAAACTCTGAGCCAAATGCAATCCGTGTGTTGTCCACACTCCAGGCAAACTACTTGGAAATGCACATTCTGCCTTCAGTGTTTGCTCCATTCATACAGGGAACCTGCATTTGAACCTGGGCAGCTCTGACAAAGCCACTCTTCACACAACTGTCCTTC